GACGAAAGAGAGAGATATAGTGACGAAAGAGAGAGATATAGTGACGAAAGAGAGAGATATAGTGACGAAAGAGAGAGATATAGTGACGAAAGAGAGAGAGATAGTGACGAAAGAGGGGGAAGAGAACGAGTGAATGAGGAGAAAAAGAGATAACGGCATAAAGGAAGAAAGAGTGAGAAAGAGAAAGGGAGAAAGATATGTGTATATATATATATATATATATGCGAGAGAGAGAGAGTGAGAGAGATACAGATTGAGATAGCAAGAGGGAGGGAGGGAGGAATGAAAAGAGGCCGAAAGAAAGAGCGAGAAAGAGAGAGAGAGACAGAGAGAGTGAGACAGAGAGAGAGAGAGAGAGAGAAAGAGAGAAAGAGAGAGGGACAGAGGAAAGCAGAAAAGGAGAGACAGCGGAATCGAAACAAAGCGAGCGAGCGTGGTACGCCGGGCTTCTCCTCCCTTCCCCTCCCGCTCCCCACTCCCCCGCGGCGCACCTTGTAAGCGTACACGACCTCCTCGCGCAGGAAGCGATTCTCGCCGGCGTTCTTGTCGAGCAGGCCCCAGTCCATCCTGATGTCCCACGCGAACGTGTAGCAGAAGCTGATCACGCACGCGACGACGTAGATGTAGAAGAAGCCCGTGTACTCGTCCGCCGAATGACCGGGCTTCTCTGCAAAGTAAAGAGGAAAAACGTGGTGACACGGAGTTCTTTCTTTCCGCTCCTCTGAGCTTCGTCATGGTGGAAGGTCAGGAATCGATTCCTCTCCCGAAATACGCGGCGGTGACAGGGAGCTTTCCCCTTCTCTTCCCCGAGCTTCGGGAGGGGGAGGAGAGGTCGGGAATCGATTCTTCTCCCGAAACATGCCGTGAAAACCCGGAAACACGCTGCGGTGGCGAAACGGAGCTCTCCCCTTCCCCCGCCTCCGTCAGGGGTAGAGGTCGGGAATTGTTTTCTTTCCCGATTATGCTAAAAATTCCTCCCCTTCCCTTTCCCCCCGAGCATCGTCGGCAGGAGTGGTCGGGAATCGATTCGTCTCCCGATCACGCTAAAAATTCTGATCTAATGTTGTGGTTTGCGAAATTCTAATACGACGGAGTGCGCTTTATCAGCAGAGGAATGATTGAAATCGTTACGATCATCATCATTCGTTCATTCAAATAAGGGAATAATGAATTCAGGAAGTAAGAAAATCCTCCCATTGAGCGGCAAATGTGCGTATGACGTGCGAGGTTTCGGTTTTTTGCTTAATGCGTCGTTAAAGCGACACGCCCGTTTATCGGAAGATACACGGGAGACGTATTACTAATTATTACTTATTATTAATTGTTTAAATGTCAATTAATATTCATTTATGACCTTATCTGTGGGAATACGTCCTCGTCTGTCATCGAGTGTTGTATGTCCATCACTATCTTGTACTGTGCTGTAATTTTTTCTCTACTGTCTCAAGTGTCGTTCCGTCTCTCTCGCTCTCTCTCTCTTTCTCTCTCTCTCTCTCTCAATGTGAAAGGCTTTCGAATCCAATCTATTTTCATCCCAATTAAAAAAAACCACCGCTAGCAGCTACAAGCACACGAAGATACTATTTCCTCTAGTGCGCCCAATAACTTTTTTCCCCATGCCGAGCACCCCAAAACAAACTTTCGAATTCGCGAAACACGTGACCGCCCTGAAGGCACCCCAACGAAAATGCGCCCTGGGCGCATTTTTGAGGAAGCGTTTTGATTTCTGGTACGCAAAACGAAAACGGGCGGACTGTTACGCGACGTTCACGACAGAAAGACTTGTCATCGGCGCGAGCTAGGATCTAGGCAATCCGATGCTGAGAGCATGGATGATACTTCGCAGCTGCGACTTGACCGATAAGCAGTGCGTAGCAGTGTGCGTGCAAGTAAGCCGCGGCCTCCCAGTGCGACCCCCAAACCCCAATACCCCCAACACCCCCAGACCCACTCACCACACTGTGATCCCCAAATACTCTCTCCATCACCAATCCACACACCTCATCGCACGACTCCGGAAAATCCCCGGTTACTAAAAATCCCGCTCCAGGAAATACCGCCCCAGGGAATTCGACATGCACATGCTACGCGGGCGTACGCAGGCAGCTCAGGACCAGGGAAGCCATCCGACACACTCCATCCCCGGCCGCCGTCGAGCGATCGTTGCCCATAGCGACTCCGCCAGAGGGCGCATGCCGCTCGTGTTAGTCTGCATCACGGCAAACATGGGTGCGGGGAGGAGTTAGGCGGATCCCTCCACCCGTGCTCTGTGGGGGGAGGGGAAGGCGGGGGGAGGAAGGGGAGGCAAGCCCGGGGCTTCGCGCAGAGAGGAAGCCCCCGCTAGCGTTACCTGTCAATCTCGGATGCCGTGTAACGCCGCATGTAGTGCGCCACCGTCCTGAAATGCACAACACAACGTGTCTCGTTGCCGTGACGACCGTCTACGCACGCGGCACGCGCACGCAGACGAAGCAGTCTGTAGCGACCAGGGGGAGGAGGGAGAGGAGGCAGAGGAGGGAAGGAGGAAGAGGAAGAGGAGAAAGAGGATGAGGGATGAGGAGGAGGAAGAGGAGGAGGAAGAGGAAGAGGAGGAAGAAGATGAGGGATGAGGAAGAGGAGGATGAGGGATGAGGAAGAAGAGGAGGAATGGGGGAATGGAGGAGGGCTGAGGAAGCTGAAGTAGGGCAGGGAAGTGGTGAGGGTAGGGAAGGGAAGAACAGGAGAGAGGCCAGTTAACGAAGCAGCCAGACCAGCATTGGCAGTAACCGGGGAGAAGGAAAAGTAGGAGGAGGGGCTGGAAAAAGTGAGCAGAGGAGGGGTGGGGTAAAGAGGCAAGAAGAAAAAAGAGTGGGAGAAGGCGAGCGGAGGAGCAGGATTGGAATAGTGCAGGCATTGTGAGGGGAAGAGAGGGGAGAGAAGAAGGGGGGATCGAAAGAGCAGGGAAGTGGCAAGGGGTAGGGGAGGATGAGTAGGGGTAAGCAGGTAGGGAGGGATAAGGAGCATGGATGTGGATGTGGGTAGGGGGTGAGAGGGTGTGAGCGAGACCTTTGAAGCACCCTTACTCTCATTACAGATTTAATTTGAGGGACTTTCATAGTGAAGCCTAATCACACAGGAACAGCATTGCCATGGCTTCACCCATAATGATAGGGTAAAACCCTCGAGACTATTATGATATCTTAAGAACCTGCCTCTATTTAATTAAGATCAAAACAAGCCGCCCACCTCTTAAAAATCAATTAGGAGGTGATTACGAAATGTTAGGAGATTTTAAGAAATACTACTCCACCTCTGATATAGTGGTGGGGCTAATAAGGGGTTTCGCATGGTTGCTACCCATGCAATTGCTGCTAGATATAGGTCGGTATACTGTCCTTGCCTAGATCACAGCGCAAAATGGAATTATTCATATAGCTCACTGAGTCTGTGATAAGATCGGCCTAATATAAACACTATCATTGATCACCCTTTCCATAATCTCTCTCTCCTCTCTCTCTCTCTCTCTCTCTCTCTCTCTCTCTCTCTCTCTCTCTCTCTCTCTCTCTCTCTCTCTCTCTCTCTCTCTCTCTCTCTCTCTCTCGCGCGCTCGCTCTCGCTCTCTCTCTCTCTCTCTCCCTCTCTCTCGCTCTCTCTCTCTCGCGCGCTCGCTCT